ATAAATGACTGTAGTTGTACACCTTCTGCTGAGTAATAGCCCTATATTTCAAACCAAATTGCATAAAACAAGATTATTACATATATGTAGGAATAATTTGTCTTGTGTTCATTAATTGGACGTTATTGACTAGAAGGAATTTTAAGATGTTCTGTTCCAATAGTCTTAACCAAATATTACTGAGTTGTGCTTTCTTGTTGGTTGAATGACCACAGTTTTACTGTTGATAATAATCTGAAGTAGAATGCTGATTATATTGTAGATTCTAATCACAATGTCTACACCATTCTACATGATTTATCAACAACCTACTTCTTAATGAACTAGTGAGTTGTCTTCTTTCGGTTGTTCCTAGATCTCACTCACCCTGATTCACCACTTTTTAAAGTGCCTAGAATTTAAGAAGAGAAAAGAGAGAATTTCGTAGAATTTATCATTCGGACTGCAGTCTGCGGTAGTATACTAAGCGGTGTTTATCAATCTTCTGTTGACTTAAGTGCCATTTAGTCTAAATTCTTATTTAGACAACTGAATTACATAATACAGAAGATCCACTATGCTTATCAAAGATCATTCCAAATCCTTAGTTCATAGGTTGAAAATCAGCTTTCTGAGAGTTTTTGACTTCCTGTCGAAAACTCCATACTACAATCAGAACTCTTCAGGGCTTTAGACTTAAATTTCAGATGCTATTTTTCTGGTCGTCGATCCCTAAAACCCATATTTCTGTTCTGATATGACTTGGGAGAACAATGGTTATGTAAGTTGATCCGACCTACTGGATGAACCTAGTCGCCAAATCAAGGAACCTTCTATGGTCCGGTTAAGGTTATTTGAAGTGTGACAGAAAATAAACTTTCTGGTGTATGAATACAAGCTTACGGTGCCACTAAATCTCACTTAATAATTTTTTCATACCCTTTTGACTACAACTTGTTCTCTAGGTTCTATGGAGTCAGCGTGGGATCGACGCAAATGAAAGCAGTCCTGAAACTGTCGGTATAAGAGAAATGAATGCTTTGATAGCTGATGATAGCTGTGATTGAATTTCTCTTTTAAGAATCGAAGATGGATTTAAAACAATTTGTGAAGAATTGATTCTTGATATGATTATTTTCAGGAGAGATACATCCATAGAGACGTAAATACATTTGATTGACAAACCAAATGGCATTGACTGTTATCTCGCATAAATATTTCCCACCGTTAAGCTGTCATTTTCAATCATCCTTATATAAGTATGTTGTTGTAATAAAATGTTTCTGTCATGTTTTTCTGTAAATTACATACCTTTTCAATCATTTTGTATTGGAAACTATACATGTTCAAATCTCCCAAATATGAAGAAATTTGTGGTATTCTAGGTTTCTCTTTATAGTGTAGATCACCAACGTAGATGATCTATGTCGAATGATCGAAGGCCTACTCGACTTAGACGGGGATGGTGTGACGACCTAGTCACAACTCGTAGTCAGCACCTTACATTTGCTACCCCACTGACGTACCAAGGTACTATAGATGCTTTGAAGACTGTACAACACAGAGGACTTTATTACAGAAATATATTAGTTAAAGTAGATACAAGCGAAAGTAAGTCCACCGCCGTATGGGCCAGTCCATGCCATACGATTAACTGATGCACGTCGGTTGTCCTTGACATCGACGAGGATCGATGATTTGTTTGATATTCAATGACCCAACTGCCGTATGATTTGGCTAGAGCATAGTTGAATTTCACTGACCCTACAGTACTCCACCACCAGATTCAACGGTCTTTTGAATCGGTACCAAACATGTTGAAAGTAGTCGCGCCCTGGAAAGTGCCAAACGAATAATATGAATCCTCTGGGTATTGCCAAGCTGTAAGACAAACGGAAAATAGATGGCAGAAACTGATCATGAAAACAACGAGTAATGATATATTAGTAGGACGTTGGTTGAACTTAAAGCGATTAACCATAGAATTAATGAAAACATAACGTCCTATTGTTCTATCAAGTCGCGCTGAAACATATAGCTCTGACAAGTAATTGAGTTCCTCCGATGAGAAACGTTAAGTTTGCCTCAAGGGTTATCATGCTATAGCGACAGTAGGATAAGTGTATTATCAATCGATGCCGATGTCTATACTGCCATTGATTTAAAGTTGAATGTCGGACAGTATCGTTCACAGCTTCTAGTTACATCTATATTTAACGGAGTAACCGTAAGTACAGAAGTATAACCGTGAAGAGTGGTCGTGATTTCGTTGTGCGAAGCTATTAGTCAACTTGTAGTCAGAGTTTGAAGAGTGGATGACTGCTGTTACAGTCAGTAAGGGTCGAAGGCTACAAACTGACAGCAAAGGTGGCATGATGAAGTCTCTAAAAGATGATAAAACGGTGAGTGCTGCTTGTTTGTATGATCAGTGAAAAAAAAATATTGAAAAGAACATAAAAAGCCAAGAGTGTCAAGAGCATATTGAACTTAGAAGAAAATTATTCGTAAGTGTAGTTTGAGCACCACTACCACATGGCTCAGTCCATAGCGCGCAATTAGTCAACGCGTTTCAGTTATCCTTAACCTCCATGATGCTTGATAAACGGGTCCAACATGACTTTTCGTTTAATGTGGAAACGGTTCAGCCTAATGGATGAATTAGTCAGAGCTTAGCGACGTTTCCGATGCCCTGTAGGATGCCTTTCATAGGAGTCCTTCGGATATTCTTTTATTTGTTTATCTGTCCATTTACCCGTCAATCAGTCGATCAAACATCCCGTCAATCATTCTATCAATCAATCAACCAATCTATCTATTATTTTATCCTCTTCCGTTACCATATCGATACACAAATATGTGGGAAAAAACCTAGTAACTGTCACAGTGCTGTTTAAATCCACTTCAATACAGCGAAGTTCCGGATTTACTTCACTACAACGAAATCGCCGGATATTCTATTTTCAGTCTTATTTTATTCCGATACTACCGCTGGTGATTCTAATTGCCAGTGTCAATCTAAATTCGAAAAGGTCTAACTTTGGCGTTGATCCAAGATTGATATCATTTCGGTCCATTCGTGTCCACTTAATCGCATCAAAATTCTCCCAACTATGCTAATCTTTGCTTCACTTGACCCTGAATTTTCTCCGCTGCTAAATTGAGTGACCGATTTCTTGTTTTGTTTGGATAATTTTATGTATCCACGAAGATTGGAAATTTCACTTCCTAGCTTTAGTTATGCTTACTGATATCAGTAAGTGATTTTCCTGTGTTGCTTTGGCATCTATACAATTATTATTTTGTAATTTTATCGGTAATCTTTGAAGAAACCTGAACAAACTTACCCTCTCTTTTTATGGTAGATAGTTGTTTATTATGGGCAGAAAAGCCTTTTTCTATTGACAAGCAATTATGACGTGGTTTTATAGGGTTTATTTAGTAGTCTGATTTTTTTAGTTCTGTAGTATTTATTGGTCCCATAGACCTGAAAAGACTATCGAGGAATTGTATTTTTGTACATTTCTCACGTGTCATAACAATGAGTGCTAATTCGCTACCGGCTTATTTATCTTTGATTATCCAGCTTATTAGGTGGATAGCAGTCATATTAGTGTCTACAAAAAAGCCTAATTCAGAGTTTCAGGAGTTCATTGAGTCTCCTAGAAAAGTAAACAATTCTATAGGTAGATTGACATGAGATCAATGGGTGAGAAAGTGTCTAGCCTTAAATTACGTTAAGTGTTTAAACTAAACTGAGTTGTTCAATTAGTGCTATTAGTAAGGTTGGTAATAAACTAATAGTGAATTCACCGCTGAAACATTAGCCTCCTGCTTCATGTCAGATAAGATACTGTGGGATTCTGTTTTTGTGGTATACTTCGACCCGTGCTTAGCATATCTCGACAGAGTTCCGATCTCAGGGGAGTTTGTCTTTTAAAGGACTTGCAAGGCATGTAATCTGAAATATACTGGCGACGGTAGCTTGTGAGCCAGTTGAAGTGACAAGCTGCGTAAGATCGAGTGACTCTGAGAATTATAGGTCGGTTAATGTCTTCAGTAATAGCGAGGTGACTTCTGCCGTTTTTTTGAGAAGTATTCGAAATGCTAAGTCAGTGTTTTAAAAATGTGTTTCTCTCCCAGGACATCATGATTTACAATTGTTAAATTATCCATATATAAAATGGAAACTTCACGGCACATCACAAATGCAATGTTCCGAAGTTCACGACTCATTTGCAAATACGAGTGGTATGGATAGCAATTCAAAGAAAATAGACGTGGCCGTTATTGTTTTTCTAGGGCTATCCATTATTTATATTGTTGTTTTGGGTGTATGCTTCACTTAATGAGAATTCAGGTGTGTTCGTAATATCACAGATCAATAAAAAATCATTTTGAGGCACCTGCATTCCGAAGCATAGAGATACAGCAATGTAAAATGTTATTGGTAAGGCTCAAAGATGAAGGTTTCAACTGATTTCGTTGTTTTCTTCTAAATAAATTACAGAATATTCTGGTCGATGGAGTGGAAGGAACACTACACTACAAATAATATCTGAAAAATGAATGGAAACCTGTAATATCAAGTTGGCTAGATAAACAATTTCAGGGTACAAGCGTCAGATTTTCTATAAAGATTTTTTCGTCACAATGAGTACGTGACCGTGCGGGAGCGAGAAACACAAATCCTTATTGGACAATGATATTCCTAGAGTGAAATTATTTGTTTCTCATGTCTACTTTACGTGTGATTCACGCTTTGAAGAATGGCAAGTTATTTCACTGTTGTTCGCATACTACGAAGTCGAGTTAAATATCTTGTAAGTACTGGAAACGGCTTTTTACAGCTCCGAATCATCAGGAAAATCGGTTATCAAGAAATCTTCCTGCCTAGAAAGATCCTGTGAAATCGTCTAACTAAGTGGCAATAACGTTTTTTAGGCGTCTCACACCATCAAAACGCAAACTCGAAATGGCAATTTGTTTGTACTAGCTTGTTAAAAATATATTGAAAGAGATGCGTTTGGCCACAGTTTAAACTCTGCGCCACCAGTCGCTAAAATTGTAGGGAATATGTTGAACACAAGAACTGGTGAGTTTCTTTATTAAGTTGATATTCCTAAGATGATAAGAGGGAGACGTTTAACTTGCGGTTATTTGTAGATTAATTATTTTGTAATGGTTGTGGAAAGATTGGAAGAGACTGAAATCTGCTAGCAAGCTAACATGTTAGGATAAGTTTATTGAGTCCTCTATAAGTTTTGGCCGTGTAAGGTAGTCAGTGGATCGTACGCCTAAGCGATAAGTAAATAAGATTATTATGCGGTAACAGGCCGTATTTATTCTTTAAACTGAGGGGAAATAGTAGTTACCTGGTCACTATAAAACTGAATTATGACACCCCATATACTTTAGTTTGTCTTAGTAAACGTAATTACCCTCGTTGAGCTAAGGTGTTCGGTTGTTTTTTTCCAAGGGGTTCATGTATTTAGTAATACGTTATCTAAATCAGGTGTTCATGAACACCCTTAAAACCTGCAGGTTTTAAGAATGTCGGTTAAGGTTTTATTTTAATATCCGATATCAGTAAAATATGAAAATCCCTAAGTGCGTACGGATTTATGTAACTTTTTTTCGTCAAACCTTGAATTGTATTTTAGTGTTGTGTTGTTTTCTCTTGTGAGTAGGTAAAGCACGTAAAGCTCTACCGAAACGCCCAGTACCAGAAGGCGAATCATCAGAGTCAAGTGAAGAAATTAAATCCCCAAGATCTTCATCTTTTGACTCTTTAGTTATCAGTCGACTGGAAGAAAAAGAAGAACTTCAGCATTTAAATGATCGTTTCGCAAATTACATCGAACATCTTCATAAAAACATCTTCAATAAAGAGTTCAGTGGTCATATTGACCTTTTAACGAATTCTTTAAAAGTAAGTCCTGCATATTCAGAAAAATATTAAAAACGGTGGGAAAGGACATATTGTGTATAGCATCCAATGTTAAATAATGTGAGGACTTATCAACTGTCTTAGTATGTGAACTTAGGATATTCGTTAATATATTTATTTTCTGTTTACTCGGAAACTAGCGGTCTGGTCATATTTACATATAAAAAAGCACCGGTTTTCTTTACTGGTCATATGCTTCACAATCCACAGTTTGAGCATTTTTAAAAACTAATGTAGTAAGCTTCTTTGGGATGAAATATAACTCCAGTTGTTGAAAATTTCAGTGAGCAAGCGTTTATCCATTTTTTTAAGATTGATAATTAGCTTTCCACCAACTTCCCTGATTTTCGAGTCACATCAGTCGTTAAATCCCTTGTATAATTTCTGGTAGCTGTAACTTTTATCTAATTCACTTATGATACTTTCTGAGTCACTTTTTCATCGTTACAGTTTTTAAGGCAGTCTATTGGTTTTAGAGAATAAAACGTAAAGCGTAATATGTACACCTTCTTACCAAAACACGTGATTTCATCCCCGAAATTAGCATACGAATTTAATTTAAATTTACTCATTCACTAGTTACTTGGATATTGGGGCTAATAATAGTACCCATTCGCCTAAGCCTTAGTACTTATATGAGGCATATAATTGCTAATTACTGGTTGGTCAAAGTAATAAACATATTATTTCCGGTTTTTTTGGATACCATGAACGTTTGGATAATGTGATTATAAATTTTACTGACATAGGATTTATCTTTTCCTAAATATTCCGTTTGTTCATATTGGTAGTCAAATAAACATTTCATTAAGATCCAAAAATGAAGTACTACTGAAAGCAGTACCCTGATATATTTTATATCCGTGCATTAAAATGAACTATATATACATATAGTTTGAAAAATCAGGCAATTAGTGAATGCGATTCGATGGATTCTTTTGTGGTCCTCAGCAAACCTAAATTTAGGATCTATTTTTTGTTGATAGATTCTAATAATATAAGATTTAATTCTATTTCGCAGCTATGTATTGAGTCATTATTTGAATGCAATTTTCTGTCCTCAGTTATTCCAAATACTTAATAGTTAGCTGCCGGAAAACTGATCGGTTCATGAGCTGTGATATCATTTTATCAACAGTGTAAAGGGAACATAAGTACGACAAGATAATGTTGTCTCATTTCAGTTTTTACTTTGATCGCGAACGGGATATTACTAAAGATGTAATGTATGTTCACTTCTTGGCGTTGAATGCAGTATTCATGAATTTTTGGTTTATATTGGGGATTCATATATATTATATTGGCGAATTCATGTGAAATTTCACTTGGTGTGCTAACTGCATGTACCCTGCTGGACTTAAACCAATTGTGTTAGTTTTCTTGTGATTTTTTTACATTCCGGTTACAATTGGTCCACAGTAAAAGTTGTTGCTACCGGAAACTAGCTTTCAAATTACTTTACGTCCTCTCTTGTCGACAGTCAAACAGCTTTGGTTGGAGATAAATTCTGGTCTTTATTCATAGCTTAATTTATCTTTAAATTAATATGGTACTTATTGCTTTAATTAATCTTCATACTTCACATAATTGTGTACAGAATGAAATGGATGACTATGTAAAAGTTTTTTCAAACGAAGTTGAATTATTGCGCCAAAATTTAAATAAAACTTCACTTGAATTAACTAATGCTAAAATTCAGTTGAAAAAGTCCACATCTGATCTAGATGAAACAATTAAACAACTTGAGCGTTCAAAAGCCAATGAGACTGAAATGGGGAATAAAATCGCGTCATTAAATGTTCAACTATCTCAGTTACAAAATCAATTGGACGTATGTAACGTAAGTTAAACGGATGATATATATATACTGACTTTTATATTTTTACACTAATAGCTGTTTTCAAAGTAGATTTAAACTGTAACCTATGTGGAGCACTAAGATTTGAAAGCTTAAAGATTTTTCTACCGAACTAATAAGTTTAACGAACTGTCTAATAACATGTAGTTCTTGCATGAAACAGTCGTATTCATAAATTAACCGAAAATAATAGACCATTTCACATTTAAAAAACAGATGCCTGATTTGTGGTTTATTCACAATTTGGACTCAACTTAATCTTTAAACGAGGATGCCATAGAGTATAAACGTTATTGAAAAAAAATATACACATTAACTTCCGGCAACTAGAACCATCGATATTTTCAGTTTCATTTAGATATGTGTCCATAGCCAAATAACGTTAAAAGGTTCTTCTACTTCCATAATCCCCGCAACATAAATGTCATTCGAAGTGTGAGTGATCTACACGAATATATAATCTACTTTTACTTCTTACAAAAGTTATGAAATAGCCCTGAGCTTATTTGCGAGAAATAATATATTAATCCCACATTTTGTATCAATCATGGGTTTAAAAAATATCCGTTGCTTATTTTCGGGTTTCTGGAGAATAGACTAACCTCAAAAAACGTTGTTCAGTCACTCTGGTTGTTTTTTTTTGAATTACTCTTTAGAAATTTCTACTTGCACAATGCGTAAACATTCATTTCTCACCTCCGTAATTCGTCTAACGGTAGTTTTAGAGGAAAAATATACTGTATACTTGCAGAATTAAACTGAAGTATGGTTACTAGTCTGTTCTCAAGACTCTCAGTTAATTCCTCTTGTTCTGCCGAGTGAAGTAGGTAATACAGAACTTATTTAACTCATCAGCCTTTCGATAAACTGAATACAATTTTATTCATGGAGCTTTCGCCTACTTTAGGAGTTGATTTAGTCCATGGATAGATTGTTTTTCCGAGAAATTTTTTTATTTAAGTCTTTATTATTATTATTATTATTATTATTATTATTATTATATCTTCCATTTATGTGCTTTTGTTGACAATAGAATTACAAAACAGATTATGATTCATTGATGGATCAACATAAAATGTTAAAATCTCAGTTGGAAAATGAAACTCTGATGCATACTGATACCAAAAATAAGCTACTTACAGCTTTAGAACAATTAGAGTTTAAAAATCAGCTATTAGCGAAAGTAAGTTCAGTTTTTTTCATTTATTCAACTTACATTTTCGTATGTTAATGTCGAGTAACAGTGCCATATACCAACACGAAATAGTCTAAAGAGTCTATTTTACTTTCAACAAAACCAGTTAGCTTATTCATTAATGTCTTTATGATTTCATCTTGTGGACAAACTGATTAGGTAATCAAATTATTTCATTCACCAGGTACTTGGGTATGAGGCACAATAATACTAACGGGTTGCCCAGACTGAAGTAGTCAGAGCGGGGTTTGAACCTGGACTTAGTGACCAGAAGTTAAACTCCCTGAGCACTAAGCCACTGCTCCATTTGCGTGAAAGTGTTCGTGTTATTAGGATTTTTCACAGTTTCACGGAAAGAAATTCGCAATGGCGTGTACAAGTCTCTATGCTATTATGTATATACTTTTGTAAAGTCTTGAAATGGTTTATACGTTGATTATTCTTTAGAATCTGATTTCTGATAGGCAAGTGTCTCAAAATCAAACCAAATATCGAGTACTTCTATTTTTAATGGTTGGATATGAAGAAATCTTGCTAGATTTGGATGGATTTTATAAATAATTTTAAAATCAACATGTGGGTTTGTTGAGTAATCAGAGTTGACTAAATGTTCAAAGATAAAATTTCTAATCTCATTCCTCTCACTCTTGTTGGGCCATGTTGGAATATGTTTTCTGTTATGCCCTAAGCCCATCAAATCACACGTAACTAGGTCACCAATTAGAACACCGACTTATATGACATTGTCCTTGTGCTAAACTAATGGCGCATCAGTCAGTACGAGCAGCCTTGAGTCAATTCTGAGTTCTCATGGGTCCCCTTTATAGTAGTTTCTCGCCTAACCCAACCGGTTCAGTCCAAAATACAAATATCAGCCTCTGAAATATGAATTGTATATTTCAGACATCCTTAGTTTATACACAAGCAGATCAGACCGCATCACACCTTAAAATGAAAAGTAATAATTATACAAGCTCAAGCCAAAAGTGGCTGTGAATGTGGAATACTGTAACTGATAAATTGGGAATAAGTTAAGAATGATAAGTCGTATAACAGTGTCCAATAAGTCAAATGAAAGCTTATAATAAAAGAAAAATAAATATACATATAATCTAGTTATTTAATAGGTATCTAATAGGACTGTATGTAATAATAGTCCATAAATAATTTCTAACAGTTACCATTCATTTAGGATATAACATTTTAATATGTGTTAAAAACAGGCATTAGCTACGGCCTATTTATTTTCCTCAACAGGAAGAGTACCAAAGAAGTATATCTTGTCAAACCGAATAACTAAACTTGATTATTAATGAGTTTGTAAGCATTACTACGGAGATTTTACTTGATAATTTCAAATAAATGGTGGACTACTAAAAATCCTTAACACAGAGTTAAATTTTCCTGCAAAGTGACTACCATTCATCGAAATACTTTAGTTCGAATCAAATAAAGAATCCCTTTCACTTCAACACAGAATTGTTTACAGATTAAAATATGTCGCTTGTGATGTTTTCTATTTTTTGGAGTCGTCTCGTGAAAACATGACTTGTCCAAAGTAACATCTAAACTACACAAAATGTTCCCCATATAATCCCATAGAACTGAAAAATCGACAAATCGAATCAGCAGTAGCATGATATACTGTTAATAAGAACATTTAACACATTTCAGTGTTGTGACCACGTTATACTAAGGGGTTGAATATACGAATGTATTTTATTATCGTCTAAACTTTAGTTTAACATATCTTGGTTCAGAGTTTCTTGTTAACTACCTCCAACCACCACTTTACATCTCAATGCACAAAACGTTTTGCGTAATTTATTCCGTTCTGATACTAAACCATTCTGTCAAAAAATACAAAATACATCAGCAATACCTCTCCCTTTATATAGTCAAAAGTTTCTCCAGTAACACTATACAGCGAAAGTTGGTTGGTCAAATACAACTGTTGAGTACCTGAGAATCAATAGGAATATTCCCTATCTAATGCAGTCGGATTTCCATGTTCAAGGATTCAATAAAATAATAAACTCAACAGACAGTCAAAGACAAAGACTGCTCATTTAGTCCACAAAATAACCATGAATCTAGTAAAACTTTATTATCGATTGTTCGGTACCATGCAATTAGAAAATTAAACAGTAGAGGCAAATTTTATCCAAAGTTAAATAAAGGTTTTATCAAAGAAGATTCGGAAATACGGAAATATGGTTACACAAGTCCTGGTTAGAATTTAAGGTACAAACCAGGGAGAAAGATTCTAGAAAAAACAGTACTGTCAAGCAAAATACTTTGGAGGGATTTCCAGACTATCTATTCTGTTACAATAAGTATTTCAACAGCGATCAGATTGACACAGATAAACTAATTGTTTTCTTTTGAGTCATAGACATCGTATTTTATTTCAGTTTTCCAGTAGCTTCTTTTTCTCCATTATGCCACTGTTGGTGTCACCATATTCTCACCTCTATTCTCATGTTTATTAGTTTCCATTCTATTCGTCCATCAGTAAAGCGTACTGACAGGTCCTGTATGGATGTTCATTATTATAGTATCTTGATTATTCCATGTTTTTTGGATGAGAAAATAACTTAATTATTGGGTTTCCTATACTAAGTAAATTTTATCTGACACCTGTTTCTTTAAAGTTTATTACTATCTTGAGTATTCAACTATCATTAGGTCAATATAAAGTTGGTACTTTGCTGGTTAAAGGTTTCAACTTCTAAATATTGAGTTACAGTTTCAACCATCCTCTACTAATTTTAATTCGGACGCCTAGGTAGTATCGCTAGCCCAAAAAATGTGGTTCAAAGTGACATACATTGGAACGTAGTTAGTCGTTGAGTATGGATAAAAGTCACTAAAAAATTAAATTAATATGTTGTTGATGTCATAAATAATGAATATTAACATTAACGCCGTTGAATGTCGGCTCAGTGGTCTAACTGTTAAGCGTTCGCGCACGAGACTGATAGGTCCTGGGTTTGAATCTCGTTGGGGGCGGGATCATGGATGCGCACTGCTGAGCAGTCCCATACTAGGATGAAACGGTCTTCCAGTGCTTCCAGGTTTTCTATAGTGGTCTAGCTTTAATTGACTCATGAATTCAACTATTAATTTAATGAATATTACTAAAAAACATAGTTACATCAAAACCTGTTTACGTATTATAATCTACTTCACTACATTTACATACATCTAAGTGATAATTGTGTAACTAATGCTGCATAGTTTGTTCATATAATTATTGTTACCTTATTTTCAGGAACGTAATATCTGGAATAGCGAATCAATTCAATCGCATTTAACGTCTATAATCAAAAGTGTCGAAGCAAATTCTCATGATAAACTATGTCATTTATTATCTGAAATACGTTCACAAATGACGATACAATATGATCAAGCAAAAAATAAAATAAAAGAGGGTTTGAAAGTAAGCGGTAATAATCTTTTGATGTTGCTGTTAACTTATCTAAGCTAGATGGTTTGATAATTAAGCTTTCGTTATCGTTTTGAACAAATTCAGTACCCAAAGATTTTCATGAACTAGACTCTGAAGATGTTCACAATGACAATAAAAACTTTGCAGTTAGACCATTTAACTCAGAGAACTTAACATCACCACCTAAATCGTCCTACTTGAGCTATAAATATTCTCCATCATATCAATAATATGTTTGAGTAGTTTTGTGCGTATTTCTTTTTCCTGAGCTCTTAGTAGAACACTTTGGCATATTCATTCGTTTGATCCACTTCTGACTATTGTGTGTTATCCATTCGAATCCATTCTGCATACTTTAATCACGATATTTAAATTCTGTGTAGCTCATATCAAAGTCGAAAAATCTGATCTTGGTTGTTGAATTCTTATTTTCATTGCCAAGTATTCTACTAGCTAATAATTAATATATTTTGCTCTCAGTAAGTACAAGCTGATATATTAATAATGTTACGTAATTATATGGTTCTTAAAAGGGGGAATCTATCTTCTGATACATTAATTATTGGGTCTCTAGGTCATACATGTATAATATTCTAATTTTCATTCTTTGTAAGCAGTTAGTTATTCAAAAGGAATTAAATCTGGTAAAAAACAATTCACTAATTCTAAGCTAAACATTTCTTTTAGACAAAAAAAGTAACCTTTTTTAAATATTCTTTTGATATATCTTTTCTTCATTTGGTTACTATAAGGCAACTTTAGATGCAGAAAAATTACGATCAAATTCACTTGAACAAGATCTTAGAAATAAAATAACTGAATGTCAACGTTTATCTCAGTTAGTATCATCACAGTCAAGTGACTTATATAATTGTCGTCATGAATTAGAAGCTACTCGTAAACAGCTTAAAGATTTTGAACAACAATTAAAATTTAATGAAGATAAATTACATGGAATAATTAGTCAACATCGTTCAGAAGTAGAACGTTTATTAGAACTATTAACGGATAAATCAACTGAATGTACTGAATTAGCTGGAATAAAAATTCAATTAGATGCTGAACTTGCAATGTATAGAAAATTGTTAGAAGGTGAAGAATCTCGGTAAGTTTTGATCTTTTTTTCTTTTTGAAGTTTATTTTAAATAATCTTCATTATATGGTTTTTTAGTTAAAATTATTGACCTAAATCTATTCTTAGTTTAGAGAATATCAATATTGTCTACTGTAGGGTGATCACTAAAGTTGTATTTCAGTACAGGTTAATTCTGTCATATCATTTATGGATTTATTACTGTAATATATCTTGTAGGTAACTTGATTAAAGTAGTGGATTAGTAATTAATACGCTCGACTAGTAAACATTACGTTCCAGACTTGAATCCCACTCCACTCTGGTTTGAGGAGCTGAGTAGTAGTGATATTAGCATATATACAATAAGTTTGACTGAAATTTGAGTATCTAAAAGGGCATACTTGATAAGCAAGTTACATTATCACTATCCAACCTAAATCTTCACTATTTTATGTAATGCTTTTCCTTAATCCATCCTTATGAGTCTAGTTTACAAAATATTCAAAGGAGTAGATCAAAGTCTCGACCTACTTTGAGAGAGAAGAATTTATGAATTAAATGTTCATAAATCTGAAGCATTACTGAATACTCCATTGGTTTCTCCCATTCAATACAAGTACCATTCCAAATTATAACATATCTATTTGAAATAATAATTCGTAATCAACTGTGGTTTTTGTCTTTTATAGTATTGAAGATAAAAGTAATGAAATTGTTTTAAATATATTTGAAATTAATATATAATCTATCAATTATGAATAAAGTATATCGCTGTTATTCGTATAAAAACTTATAGAGATTAACAGTAAACTTAAAATGTGTTTACTTCATCAGTCACACTCATCGACAACTTACAAGCTTATATGAGAGTTGTTTATATCACCTGGTGCGGCCGAGAGTGGGGAGAGTCCGCTCTCCCTCTCGAAATACTCTCACACGGCCACGCGTATACAGCCTCTGCCAGGGAAGTCCTACTCACTGCCTTCTCGTGGCGGGGGTGTTGTTTACGAAAATGAGAAAACGAAAAGCGAATGTCCGGCGTTTTAACCAGATCCCAAACCAATGGTGCACATGGGCTTCAGTATCCTGCGGGAACAAATGGCGTATGAACCAATCGTTGGTCACCGGCTTCCGTGGGACTGCATCTCCTTACGATGCTCCACTGCCTTGTGGGTTAGACCTTTAGGTCAAAGGCTTGGGGTGTGGCCCCCCGCTGCTTCGGTCTGGGCACCCGGGTAGTATCACAACCCACACCCATATCAAGTGACTTGTGTGGCGCATATGTATTCGGCTCCCCTTTGTACCAATATTTATGTGTTCAAATAAATAAATAAGTTGTTGGAAGTTAACAATCTCAAGCTTTTTATTTCAGTTTATAATATCTGTAATGTTGGTAGTGTCAGATACACAAAGATCATCACTACTTCAAATATTTCATGTTTTTAATTTTTAATTTCAGTAAATAAAAATCAAGGTGTAAATTTTTCTATTTTCTTAGCCTTCATCTATCTCCTACAGAAAAGATCCTAAAAGGTAAACCAATTGTTCGAACAAATATAACTCCTACCAAACGTACATATAGTGACATGTATACATCTTCATTAAAATCAAAACAACAATCAACTGGAAGTTGTCTTCATGATGTTGATTTAGATCATACAGATACTAATAATATTGTGCAATCTTATCCTTTGACAACTGAACGTGAAATATCAGAAATTTCAGATTCACACTCAAAAATAACCAATATCGACTTCAATTTACATAGTTCTGGCTTATCTACGTTTCCTTCATCATCAAGTTTAATTGGAGATTCTTTACGTATAACATGTCGTGCTGATGGTCCAATACATTTCTCTAGCGCAGATCCTGGAGAGGGTTTACTACGTATTTACAATGCTAGTGAAGATGTGAGTGTATTTTAATATACAGAAATAGATTCTTATATTCTATATTCAGTCATTTGATGCTGTAATACATTAGAATATAATAATTTTATTATTATTACACTTATATAAATTTGTTGCACTTTTCTCATGCTTGCTTCCAATTTATCAGGCTATTGATTTAAGTAATTGGCATCTATACGCTGGACCAACTCATGAAGGTTCATCGGATTACGTAAAACTGTATACATTTCATAAATCTCAAAACTTGCAACCACACACAGAATTGCAAGTAAGTTAATGTATAATTGCTGTCGGTTGTGTTTTCTCATTGTTACTGGTATTTCAATTATTTCTGAAATCGTTTTGATTAGTTTTTCATCACTTTCCACTTTTTTGTTTACAGTTGATTATTAGCTAATTATTACCGGAGAAAGGTATTTTCTTAGTTTAATTCACAGATTGATTTTGGCCAGATCATCAGTAGAAATCTAGAAGCACTGGACAACCGTTTCTTCCTAGTATGAGATTCCTCAGCAGTGTGCGTCCACTAACTCTTCACTAGGAATCGAACCCAAGAACGTTAGTCCCACGCACGAACGCTTAACCTCCAAACCACTGAGCCGGGACCCAATGATGTATGTGTCTAACTCCAGTCACTCAACCAACTCAACTCCTCAATCCTTATCCATTACTTGATATATATACCACCTGTCTCACACCCGACATAGTCGAACCTCACTAGTCACATCTTCTGACTAGAACTCCAGTAGTTGTATCTTGAAACTAGTCACTAGTGAGCAGATGACCATTGTCGGTATAGGGGATTTGTAGAGATTGTGTAATTAACGTATTTTAAATTAATTTCAGAAGGGTTTTTTTCAGATATTATAGTAATTATAATGATTGGGATTATGAGTCAATTGAAGCTAGACCACCATGGAAAATTTTGAAGCACCGAACGGATTAGTTAAAGTTAGACATTAACACCACTGGATGCCGGCTCAGTGGTCTAGAGGTTAAGCGTTCGCGTACGAGACCAATAGGTCCTGGGTTCGAATCTGCGAGGCGGAGTCGTGGGTTCTCACTGCTGAGGAGTCTCATAATAGGACAAAACGGCCGTCCAGGGTTTTCATTGTGGTCTAGCTTCAATCGACTCATGATCTCAACTATTGATATTTTAATTTACTAAATAAATTTCATTGGTTTACAGTAATATAACTTCCGATTGCCGCCGGTTTCTTATTCCTTAATCGAATACTTCTTTTGTTATCTGTCCCATAAACACTTCACTGTTTTTCTATGTTCAGTAATATTTTGGCGAGTAGATTTTATGCAGTCATCAATAGAGCCATAAGGCACATATTTTTACGTTCCAATTCCAAACTTTACAGCACCAGGTCGAATTCAGTTAAATTCGCTTCGGGGTCAGAGTCGTTTTCTCTCATGAACGTTCACAGTTTACTACTGCTACTACTACTACTACTACCGAAAGCTGTCAGCAGTCACAAGACTGTAGTAAATCATACAAGCGAACCAGTTCATTGATTGATCGAGAAAATTTCCAGTCCACATAAATTGATATCTGAAGTTGGGAATCCCCGATGTTTTAGCGTCTTTGTTGTTTGTTTGTTGCCAAAAATTTAATGGATGTCTAATGTATCATTCTGTTTGTCTATGTAAAGTGTCATTCAAAAAGAAGTCTGAACCGTCTTTAAATACTTATTCTCACTAGTGAATCAAATTAGTTGTTGCTTGACTGTATGATCCTAGTGATGGTAGATTGTTAAGTGAGCATATTTATAGTGTTTTGTTTTGGATGAATAATTTAACTAATTGTAGGAGTTCTAACTTCATACTGCATTCACCATACGCCTTCAAATGCCCCGGTATGGCCGGGGGTGGGGGAAGTTCGCTTTTCCTTTCGAAATGCCCTCACATGGTCACCACTGCCAGGGAATTCCTACTCACTGCCTTCTCGTGGCGGGCATGTTGTTTACGAAATTGAGAGGAAAAAAAGCGAATATCCGGCGCTTTAACCGGGTTGGTGGGTATGGAGGGTCCAGCTAGAGAAGTTGGAAAACCCTGATTCCAAACCACTGATGCACATGGGCTTCATTATCCTGAAGGAACAAATGGCGTGTGAATTTATTGTTGGTCACCGACTATCATGGGACTGCTCCGACTTGGGTACCCGGGCAGTATTCCGACCTTCACACAAGTCGAGTCATTTGTGCGGCGCATATATTTGGTGCCTCCTTGTACTTACGTTTGTTTAAATAAATAAACAAACTTCACCATACTTGAGTGATATTCTCTTGGAAAATTTGTTGTCTTGCCAATAAAGGTTTGCGGTAATTTCAAGTGTTATCAAGATAAATTAAAAATTAGTTTATAGATGACAAGTATGATTGCTAAGTAACTGTTTACTGTAAAAAATAAACAATATGATAATCACTTACTGTTAATTATACAAAGATTATAAACGAGTTTTAAACTATAATAAGAATAAATGAAACATTGGATAAATGAATTTTAATCATAAAATTCCGAGTAATACAGTCAGTCATACAAAGTGTACTCTGAATTGATTTGAAATTGCCATCTTTCTTCAAATAATTCATTGTAGGTTTTTCTTTGCTTCGCATCTGAACCTTCACAAGTCTCTTCCGCTAAACGTGTTCGTCCTGATGTCAGTGCAATTTTGCATCTAATCACTCCAGTATCTGTTTGGAATCCTTACAGTAGTTTAATTGCACTTCAAGATTCAACTGGTTCGGTAAGTTTTTGTTAAAAGACTTTATTTATCTTTAACATGAAATAAAATGATTATAGCATAATTATCTGTAAATTGTATTTGTTGTGTGAATTCTTTTTTTCGATACTTAGACGTTAATCAGCAACAGATCATATGTGTATATAATACACTAACATGAAGTAATTTGATTTTATTTGTGGTTAGTCTTCTTTTCTGATTTACTACCTTACTAATGTTGTAAATTTACCGTCTGTTTAATTCGTCTATACTTAATAGAGGAGATTATAATTTATGGAAAACCTTTGAACGCCACTAAAGTGTCATTGTGGAACTTCAACCACGTACTACGGTCTAAATAATTTTGTAAATTAGTATGAAGAATTGAGATTGGAAGTTAGAGTTTTGGGTTAAGATTAGGAATTAGGGTAAGGGTTTTCATTACGAACTGACATTTTTTTATAATGCCCAGATGTTGTTTAACCATGTGAATGAATGAATTCCGCACGAAAATCAAGGAGTCGCAGTCTCAGATGTGAGTAGTTTGTCCATAAATTATTGTCTTGCCATCTACTAAGTGTTTCTAGTATTAAAATAAAAGTAATTCCAATCACTACTATGACGGAGTTTCGCATAAATATTCAGTTTTAATTGGTATATTGAGGCAGTTAGAAATGGACAAACGAGGTCACTCGATGATAATAAAAAATGACCTGGCTACAAAAATGGATTGACTCCCCTAGGGGTAGAAATGTATGTATATAAATGAGCATTTGTGCATATTATTCGGTAGCCCAATAGACTTTCTCCTTCAGTCTTGTGTTCTCACTCAAGTGGTTAGGTTCTCAATAGTTGTCGGTGGCAATAATATTCAGCAATGTCCACGATTTTCATACTGGTATTTTTTCAGAAACTGTATTCTAATTTATATGAACATTCATCCAAATATAAATGAATAATTTAACAGAAATTAAGCACCGGGTATATCAAAAAACACTAAATAATAATTTATATTTGAAATTATCTCAGGAATTAAGATTTCACTAATTCCAACGTTTTGTTTACGATCTCTTCAAAATGAAAACGATCAAAGAATATATAAATTTGAATGACAAATCTGCGCCAAACTCTTCTAATCATGTTCAGATGTTGGTTAATTCTTTTTTGTATAGTAGAATATATGTGTCGTAAGATGTGTAAAAATGTTTTTTATGACGGGTGGTATCCGCAATCTGATATGGATACACATAGTGCTATTCACTACCCCCCCTAACTGACTACTTGAGCAAAAAACACAAGAGTGGACGAGAAAATATATTGAGCTACTGAATAAAGTACACAAATACTCATTTATATGTATACATCTCTCCATCTCTTAGACAATGATGTGTATTTGTTTTTCAGGTTACTTCTAATTGTCTTTGAGTGAACTTGGCTACTTTTTATTAGTTTACCATATCAATGTTCACAAAGTGAAAAGTGCATGAGCATGTGTGTGTACGTATATTTGTATACCATTGTTGATTAAGAAATCCAGTGAATAATCGACACCAACATGAACCCAAATATTAATCATTTTTATTTATAATGAATATTAAAGTACATATTAGTAAAATTATACGAGGTTCAATAAAAATACGATATCTAACATTCTTACCGTCCATTCAGTACTGCATATAGGAGTGCAATTTTCACTAGGGATTTCATTTCAATCACCTGAAGTTATCTACATATGTCTTCTATGAACACTCAACTGTAACGCATCCCGACTTGACAGATGCGTAAAAAAACAAACAAATAAAGTGAAAGTTAGAGCTTCAAAGAAAATCCTCAGTCGAAACTATACTTTAAATGAACGAAAAATGCCCATAAATAAATGCTTGTCACCGTGTATATATTGTACATTGAAAACTGGATGCACTACGAATTCGTAAAAATTTACACTTATTCAGTGTATATACTGAATAAAACTACTCATTCAGAATTAATTATGATATTAAACATTAAAATAAATGTTTCAATTTAACTAAAACACTTATGATCCAATTTCTATACAAACGATTTTCTTTTTAATTGTCGGTTATCTTTCAGGATATAATCTTGATGTTAAGTTTCTATCGATGAATCTAGGTGGATAACCATTTCTAATGAGTATCTGTCTGAGTTGTAATAGTTCATCATCTACAATAGTTATAGCTTAAAGCATCTAATTTTTATTACTGATTGATTGAAGTAGAAAATGTATGAATTGTTAAATTTTAACTTCTTACTAGTCTATAAATATCATATCTGTCATGAGATTTAAATAAGTAATCTGGATATCTAGATTTATGTACGCCTGTTACCTCTCTTGGAGGAGCATAGGCCGCTCACCAGCATTCTCCATCCAACTCTGTCCTGGGCAATCTTTTCCAGTTGTTATTCGTTCTTTTCATGTCTGCTTCCAATTCCCGACACAATGTGTTCCTCGATCTTCCAGTTTTTCGTTTCCCTTCAGCATTCCAAGTTAGCGCTTGCCTTGTGATGCAGCTTGATAATTTCATCAATATGTGTCTTATCCATTTCCAACGTCATTTCCTAATTTCCTCTCTAGAGGGAAGTTGATTTATTCTCTCCCGCAGTAGGCTGTCGCTGATTGTATACGGTCTTCTCTTAAACCGTGAGATTAAAATTGCTTTATATCTTTCTTTCTACCAACTAATTCTTTCTTCCTGTATTATATCCTTATATGCAATCTTTCTTTTATATATTACCACCATTGAATTAACTACTTCCATGAAGTTGGTGTTCATCTTATTGTACTAATGAGGTGTGGCAATTTGGACCGATGCATATATGTGCCTGGTCCTACGTTGTCACTGACTGACGGTCAACGGAAATTGAGTATACTATGTAGTCAGTTGTTTTTAAATACTTGTACTGTTTTGATGATTCTTGTAGTAGTTCTTCAAGTCTCAGCTCCGTACAATAAAACTTACTATCTGAACGTTCATATTAAAGATTCTGATGTTAGTTATGGATATTTAAAGTTTCTACATAATTCTTTAACGTATACTCTATCAACACACATTATAGATCTTAATCATCATAGATTATTTGTTAAATAACTGATTTGAATACATTGATCAATGTTGTGTTTGATATTGAAATATATATACTGTTTATTCTCGTGTGTTCAAATAACTTTACTGCTGAGGAGTCCCACAATAGGACGAAACGGCCGTCCAGTGCTTCCAGGTTTCCCATGGTGGTCTAGCTTCAACTGACTCATGATCTTAACCATTGAAATTACTATAATATCCACAAAACCCATCTGAAAATAAAGAGTTTGAAAAAAAATCATTTTAATTAAAAAAGTAAATCTAATTTCTTATTATCTTAGATATGAAAACTTTCATAATAATTTCTCAAGCTTTCAAGTTTTTTTAAATTATTTTGAGCCATTAATTCCATAGTTAGATACACATTATTTGTGAATAAACCCATAATGTTTTCAATTACTAGCTAAACAAATTACTTTGTTTTACATTCCTCTTAACGATAGATAAGTCATATCTTCACTTACTGGAATATATATTTATATGTTAAAACTGTTATGTACAAGGAGTTCCTAACAATTTGATAAGGGAAATTTTCAATGATCAAAATTAATGAGTAGAATATCTTTTTGTTGATAAACAGAATGATGTAATGTGACAGTATGTGATAGTTCTGTTATATCCGAGCGAAGATTACATCACGAGTAACTTATGAGATCTAGTAATGGACCAATATTCTATATATATTCCCATTGTATAACTGTTCATTAACTAAATCATGTGTATCTATATTCCTCTTATTATATTTATTTGTTTATTTGAACACATAAATATTGGTACAAGAGGGCACCAAATATATATTCGCCACACAAAACAATGGGAATTTAAAGACAAGGAAAAGAAAAGTAAGGGGCGTGAAAGAAAAAGAGAACAATAACGAACAGATTGGTGTGAGGTAGTGTAACAATAATAATAGTAATAATGAGGGAACGGAAAGGTACAACCAGAAGAAGTCTTTCAGTTAAGGAAGAAGCAACCACTTTTTACGAAAAAAGTAAAAAAAGGTTACAGCAGGACCGACCAGCATTTTCCAACCCACTCTGTCCTGGGCCTTCTTTTCTAGTTCCATCCAACTCTTGTTCATTCTTCTCATGTCTACCTCCATTTCCCGGCGTAATGTGTTCTTTGGTATTCCTCTTTTCCTTTGACCTTGAGGATTCCATGTGAGAGCTTGTCTTGTAATGCAGTTGGGTGCTTTCCTCAATGTGTTTTACTGTTACGGATTCATAATTTGACAATTCACAATTGTTATTTGTTTCACGAATTTAACAACATATTGATTTTCAGAAAATTGTTTAAGCTAGCCATCTTATTGTCTTCAAGAACCAATGTACAAGAGGTAATTAGGTGTTATATTTGTCAGTATTGGTCGAATTCTATCTGTACTTTTTCCTACATAGTAAGCCTGAAATATCTTTGGCAGCTTACTGTTGTTTTTTGTATTCAATATTCAGATGCCCGAGGGAGAGAGAAGTAAATTCGGTAGAAATAGCTTAGACTATGATTTAATGTCCTTTTTGTTGTGTATGTGTTTCGCTGTTTATTTGAATTTTATTGTGTAATGCTTATTCTTCCTTTGAATCTTCTTATAACTGTTTAATAGGTTCGAGCCACTTGTGAAATGGAATCATACTGTAGAAAATCTGATAAAATATCAACATCAGATGTTATTGCCGTTGATGATGAGGAAGACGGTTCAAGTGATAAAGTTTCCTCAGTCTGTTCAGATAATGATTTCACCTCAAACAATGATCCACAACAACAAACTGTTGAAGATAACAATTTAAATAAATCAGTGGTGAAGATAACGCGCTTGTCAGAAGAGACAACTAGAACATTTCAAAGTCATGGTGAATATTTTGATTTACCGAAACATGTTAGTTCGGTACGATTTCGTAGTGATATTTGGCCAAATGAAGTAAGTATTAAACTTTCATATTGGGATCATTTCGCCTTCAATATTCGTAATACTCATCTCAGTGGCGCAGAACAAAACGGATTCAATGAAAATTTTAGTTTAAAAATAAGACTTGTAGGTAAACTAAATCAAATTGTGATTAAAAATGAGTAAGAGCTGAACCGAATCTGGAAGTAGTATTGTAATGAAATAAGATTTACAGCAATTGGTGATTTCATTGGGATGAAATAACTTGGAACTGTTTTGTACCAGTTTAATCTGTATAGAATTACACTGGTATGAACTGATGTATATCCTGTATTAGAACCATATCTTAAATAATGATACCACAATAAAATAATCGAACGATAGTGATTCTACTAATAAAAAGAAATAAACGAATTGTTGCTATGTCGATAACATTGTCAGAAGAAAGGACTTGACAGGGTTTAACCGTTATCAAAATTAATTGTAAGTGTTACTACACAAGTACACCCAGCTGACGAGTTTCAAGCAGGACGAAACGCACATTCTGGATTTCATTGCTTGTGACTTAAGACAATATCGAAGCAATCCTCACAGGATGTACATGCTCCAATAAGAGACTAATCAGTCGCAGTCGTAAACGTCAATGGGAAAATTCAAACAATCGATACAAAGATGAATTATCTACATGACAACCAATCGAATTGAAATAATAAATAATTAATCTTTATTTGTTTAATAGTCCAAACGAGTGTATACATTTATGTACGAACTTATTCGTAAAGGAATTTACCATTACACGTTTTTAATGCTTAGAGTTAAACATTTATCTTGAACCATAGTATATCATTTAACACTGATATTCTTATAACAAGACAAGGAGTATATTCGCCTCTATTATTACAAACAATTTGAAGGGATATCATTCTACGTCTCTAACCATTGGTTACGATAATCACAAGAACTCTAGCCAAGGTAGTCTGTGCCTATTTATGAGGCTAAGTCTAATTGTTAGGGATTTCATGAACTAATACCATGTTTACAAATTCTTTATTTACTGAGTTACTGAATCTTTATGTTCTCTCAACTTCTAATCTTCTGTATTCTTTATGTCCCTTTTCTTTTTCTCGTTCCAAATTTATTTCACTGTATTATACTCCTTGGATAACATCGTCAAGCCCTAATGTTTCCGATTACTGCTTATACTTTTACTACCTCTACCACTATGGGATTTGAATCGACAACTGCATCTCTGTGTTAATATGGTATGGCAACTCGAACTGATGTACGTACGTACGTACGAAGTTCTACGTTGTTACTGATTGACAGACTGAGTTACTGAATCCAGACAGTCAGTACATTATACTTTTTTAAAACTTACATTTATCAAGCCTACGAATAGACATCATGTGTTTCCATCACCCAATCTTACTTCTGTTTTTTTTTCCAGTCCCATTTATTGAAGGAAGGATCACGTAACTATGTAAGTAATTTGTTTGTTATTTATATCATTATTATTGACGCTATATTTATCACATTATTTTGTCATGCATTTCACATAGTAATGTACTAATGGTATAGATATGTCAGAGAATATTATTAACAAGTGACTCATATTTATTTGTATTTTAATCAATTTGATCTTGTTACAATTTTATTTACTACAAATCGTTGAGATAAAATTTTCAAGTTACCCTCTCCCCCCTAGATGTACTATCGACTTCTTTCTGTCTCTTATACATCTTCATTTATTTCATAATGTAGAAATGTTTTGTCTAACTATTGTTGATTGGTTGTTAGTTTCTATACAATAATTAAACAAAATGTTTTATTTGTGTTTTATTTTAAATGATTATCTCTCTTGGTATGGACATGTGTTTTTTGTGTCCTTGGTAATTTCAATTGAATGTTGTGTATTTGTATGATTGTTACTCAGAATTGTTTCATTTTGTCTCATCTTATCTACTGATGTTTAAAACAGATAAAATGATCAATAAACACGTATTTATCTTAACCCTATCTTGATAAATAGTTTACTAGTAGTATAGTGGATGAAAACTCAGGTAGGGGAAAACTAATTTAGGGCTTAATGCCAAATTACACTGTGCCTTCGTAAAATATGGAAATCATACATTAAATACATTATTTGCACATCCTTCTTCAGTCGTCCTTCACATGCTTAATGGTTCTTTTAATTCTGTTGTTATAACAACTGCTCTCTGTTTTCTTTCTTGTTCTCTTCTCTTCAATCTTCCACTGGCAGTCATTACACTTCCGATTGGTGCCATATACTACTTATTCCTATCAGCTTAAGTAGCATATACTACAGTACTGCTTAAATAAAGTATATTCTTAGATAAAATAAAATAACTCATTCTAAGCTTGTCTAAAAATCTATGTATATTGTTAATTATATTTATTCAATTGTATCTACTTTGAAATTTTACGTGACAATATCATAATTAAATACAAAAGAGCTGCTTTATTTTCAAGGAGTATCATGTTACTTCGTCGACTAACAAATGAAGTTAGAATTTGAACAAGTTTACAATATAATTCCGAAATCACAATTATTTTATTGATTCGTTTTACTTTTGATCAGGTTAAACCCTGATCAAATAAGTATCTCTTCTCATATCTATACTTAAATAAATCAAATTTTATTCACCATATGGACAAATAATAATTATCTCTTATCGATTGATTCATCATTCTCAATCAAAGATAATCTTTCCACTAATTTCAAGTTCTAAAAATCTAGAAGAACAAGTTTCAGTTGTAGATTTCGTCAAAGTTGTTGTGTATATATTTTTTAAATCTGCGACTTTTAAGGGGAGAACCTGTTTTACCTTCAGGGATTCAAATCAGTTCCATATGACTGGTTCCACATAATTGAGTTAGTTATCATTTAGGTTGCTTCAGAATACTTATGTAATCCTAAGTTTGGTATACTCTATGTACATTATAAAGTTGATTTATTTAACATGTTTTCATATGATTCATTGACTTTAGTGGTTAAGGCGTTCGACTTTTAACTACTAGGTTACATGTTCGAACACTCGCCTCATTCATTTCGGTTTAAGAAAATGAGTAGTATTATTAACTTTCACGCTTGAAGCCGAGTACATAAATCTATACCTAATAAATGAGCCAACTACCTGAAGCCCTTGAATGAAAATTAAGAGTAGTCGTTACAGTTTGAAAACTATGTTGAACTCCAATGTAGATGTCGCTGGAAATTTTGTTTCCAAACATTGTCTTTAAAAGCTTTGTTGAACATGGCAGTATATAACACTGTACTTCATATATTGCATTTAGATAGGTAGCGTAATATATGCTTTTCAAAAGATACTGTAGTGGTCTGTCTAAACAACCATTTACAGCCCTACATACTAAACCGATTGACAATATCATTTGAATGTTCAAACTGTGATAGGGTTTGAAGGTTTCAAACAACTTGATCACTATTTCTCACACTTAATATATGCCTGCTACCCAAGTACACCAGTCTGTACGTAGTAAGGGAAGTAAATGATCAAAATTCATTTTAAGGTTGTTCCAAATCATGGATTTTTAAATTTATGCCGATAATCTGAGTCATTCGAACATTTGATCTGAATAATCACACTATCAAAATTTGATCTTTACTTTTTGAATAACCATACAGATTAATTAAGTAGGTTATGTTCGTTACTTCATTTTTCGTGGCTATTTCGGCAAATGTAAATAAACCATACTACCACAGAAATCAGATTTAAAATAACAGCTCCTAAATTTTGTATCAAGTTCAAAATACTATGGTGGATAGCTGTTATCCTAACATATGAACTAGGTAGGTACAAGGCAGAGCCTACCAATATTACTTATTATTAAGACGCTTAAAGTTGATAATCAGGACAGAATTAAAGAATGTAGTCAACTTTGGGTGATTATGAAATGATAATAAGAAAGTGATTATTTAGTAGTGACTGATATATGTCAATTCCTTCGTATAGATGGGCAGTGACTATCTGAATAACTCAGTGGTTACACCTGTAACAGTGAAGTTGGGTGACATGGGATCGGATCAACTAGTGACCAACAGTACCCTCAAGATTACAACTACACTTTTCTAACGAGTGAAAATTAACACAAAACCTGGATCAAGCAGGGTTTCCTGATAACTACCTCCAAGCATCAACTTGACATTAAAATATAACATTTGTGAATTTTCCTAGGTCACTCAAAGTTTGGATTTAAATTTAAACTATCTGTCTAATTATTCATTATGGCTATAAAGCATTCTCACATTCACTAACTTCAAATCTAAACCCTACTTGCTAGTCTTATTGTTACTGTCTTTGTTCTTCATACATATGCCTTAATTGAATCGCTGACTGACAAACAATTTAACCTGAGGATCAACCGAGGTAATTCTTAACGCCTATTAGTCTAGGATGAACACTCTCATCTAGTCTAGTAATCATTCTCAAGTAAGAATTAAAAAAAACAGCCAAACCTTGTATTCATATGCTTCAAACACTCATCGGTTTATATACATGATTTACTAGACTTATATTTCAGATCATAGGAGGTCACAGTTTATGCGCAACAAACAAAGAATAGAGAATAGTACTATAGGGGAAAAATTAGTTAAGCAATGGTAAAGAAGTTTAACAACAATTAATACCTATTGGAAGCTCATAATACAGGAAATCTAAAAAATACAATAATCCAATTACTTAGTAATTTTATACAGTAGAAAGTTTATCATAACAATTTTATGTGTAAGAATTCTCCCACATTTGTTCTGGTTTAATACTTGTCTTGTTGCCCCCTTAACTTTTTTATTTTCTTAGAATAAATAAATGAATCACTGTAAAATTGTTTATCCATAGTAACGTTATTGCTGAATTGTTTTGCAACTGTTATTACTGAAAGGTTTTTATTAACTTGGATCGACTGAAAAGTGATTCGTAGTGTTATTAATTTTTCTATCATTTAGAAAATAACAAAATAGGGGGGGGGAAATGTTTTTCGCAATTAATTAATTGATTTTTTCACAATATCTCTATACTAATATATACATACTGTCATATGCATGTCGATCAAATGGCTAGAATTACCATTAGATTAAATCCTTCAATAAGATACAAATATATTGTAGCGGTTCATAGATGGATTGAAGGTATGTTTTGTGCTGTAGGTGAACGTGTGAAGAAATCTGAAATACAAATGATCAAAGGAAAAAGTCAATCAAGTATTCAGTAAACATACAGAATAGACTTATATTTTAGCAATAAAACCAATCAAACTTAATTATTAGAAACACAAGAGTAATATCTAGACAATCAAGAAATTGAAACTAGCAGTTGGTAGGATAAGATTTCAATTGGGTTACATGTAATTAAAAAGTTAGAATGGATACCGTTGTAAATATTCAAAGATATTAATGAATAAATGAACGAATTGGAATATATATGACAATAGATTGTATCGTATAGTATAAGCGAACTGTCAAAATTTTGATAAGATGTCGAATAATAATAATAACAATTAATTAAATGTAAATAATAGAGCATGTTACAACAAAATTTTGAGAAAATAGATTGGATAAAGAGATCATGTAATAAGGTGATTATAACTCAATGAACTTTTGGCTTGTTTTTTAATAGCTAAATTACACATTTCACCTAGAGACAAAGATCCGGTTCTCTGAATTAGATACTGTTGTTTGTAACTATATTTAAAAGTTTTGTAACTAAACTACATGGTGTGGTCGATAGAATCTAGTGAATAATTATAAATACATTGTTTACGTTTACTGAATGCTCCGTACCAATTACATGAAACAGTATAAATGTCTTAATCGATTTCAACTATCCCTTACTTAACGAAATGGATTATGATCTTTGAAGAATTCGGTAATTATGTACTTACCTATTTGTCACAGGAGCAATTGAATTGATAAATGTACGTAAACACAGCAAGTTTGTCTTTATTTCCTGTTCTAACGACCGATTATTTGTAGAATATGGTATATTATCTAACTGTATTGGATGATTTTTCTTTTACGGAGCTTTTCTTATCCTCTGTGTTATTAACTCACTGACACTGTCTATCACTTTATATATATATGATGTTTTTTTTTAATTTCCTTTACAGACGTGTACATTATTATAGTTGATAATGAATTAATTCATGAAGACCGTCGATTATATTTTGTTCAATTACAGAACAGTATTTTTCATCGAAACAACCAACCGAAACACACACACACACACACCGTGGGACGTATGTACATGCTGATCAATATGAATGAAACAAAGTTGTTCTTTTATAAACTGATCTGAATTAAATAACTTTTATTTTACACATTATATCATATATCATATCAATTATATATTCATATAAGTGTTGATTAATTTATCCCTCCGAAATTAACTTTATCTACTATGGATTTTTATTCTTATTTTCATCCATTGATTCATACTTTTATAGTGAATCTCACAATTGGTGGGTTTATTTTTGTCGCTTAAACATTTGACTCTATTTGTGTTAAATGTTTAGTCTTTCTTCAGTAATAATAACGCCCTGTGTAATTGGTTAATTGTCTCCAATGTGTTTTTTTTTTCATTCAAAAAATTGTTATCCTATGGAAAACAGTCTAATAGTTGTTGTGTTATTTTTATTCTCTGCTATGATCGGTGCTCGTCAATTGTCCAATTAAAGAAAAGAAACCCATTGTGATACATTGTCATTATATACCTTTAAATTGTGTATTCATGCTCTGTTTATCTATTATTACGCATATGTTTGTATCCATACTACTAAATTCGTTGACTTAAACATATACACATCGAGACAATATTATTTTGTATCAAGCACTATTATTTCATTTCATTTGCACAATTACCACACTTTATTCTATTTCTATCTCTATCCAACATGTTTTTGTTGGTTATTTTCTTAATTGACGACTTGTTTATGCACGTTTTGACTTTCGCGTATTTTATTTGACATATTATGTTTAAATCAAGAGAAATTCTGTTGAACAATTACAACAAATAATTTATTTGTTTTTTTTTTCTTTCTTTCTTACAGTACTTCACATTAAGTACTTTCTTTAGTTATGTGAATAAATGAGACTTTATAAAATAGTTTTTATGGTTACGAATACTGTGAGAACTATGTTCAGCCCAGTAGCAATGAAGTCTATACATACATATACACAAATTCTTTGTACTGATTTCTCTGTGTAGTTGAATTTATTCTAATTTTATGTGATAGATAATGCTTGATACTGTTCCGTGTTCAAAGTGTTAACGTTGAGATAATCAGTGCTGAACATATGAAACGGTGATTGTTAATGGATAAATCATAAACTTACTCTGAACTGTTTGCATGTTATCACTTACACCATTGTTGTATATGATGATGAATTCATTGAGAACTTGGTTTTGTGTTTCGAGCAATTGTACATCTTGATAATTTCTACAGCATCATTGCTTTCTTTTATTTTTGAAAAAAAGTAATACTTATTGTGAAAGAAATATATGCTTTCTGCTTATTCATCGTTTTATATTTTCAATATAGATGGATTTATATGAATGTGTTTGAGTCTGTGTGTGTGTGTGCTTATCCAGGGAACCATTGTGGAACCAATAGATTAAGTTACCGTCAACAATCTTTTATACGTTACTTGATTAGAATAAGGAAATATATGGCAAATAATATCTACGTATCCTTTGATAGTTTTTAGGCTAGATCCAATAAAATGTGAATCCTGTTGCTAACTGCGTGTCTAGACACTAAAGAAACTCGTGAGAACGACCAACTTTTTCTAAAGCATTAACAAATATGAATCAGAATAAAAAAAATCCTTGACAATCATTTCGTTGTTCTGTATCAAATTCTTCAATAAAGATGTACTTCTTAATCAAGCAAAATATACTTTGGTTAATAAGAGATAATAATTCAAATATTAACCTTTGAAATAGGTAATGATGGATTAATACCAATCATTCTTACCTCTTAATCTCTATCTATTTATTCTGTCGTAAAATGTAGTAGAAACAATCAAAAGCTTTTAACTACAAATTATTGATATGCTGATGGATTTCCCTATTCACACTTGTTTGGATGATTTGGTCGGAATATAATTACTAATTGTGCTTTTTAACCTCTAGTATTTGCTTGCTAAGAAAAGGTAAAATTTTCGCTATCACATGATTGTCAGAGTTTATGTAAAACATTATGAAATCCAAAAGATCTTGAGCCTATATTCATGAAAGTGTTCAATGAGAAAAGCAAAAATGTGGTTGATTTCTTTGACAGAACATTTCTAAACTCAATTAAACTAGCATCCGTTTTTCTCTATCCACTCTCAGACAACGACTACTTTAGTCGATTTGTAGAACTAAAATTAGGTAATACATCGAATTTCAAAGGTTTACGTCAGAAATATTGATTGGATTCAGTGACTATTAATTGGTCTGGTTGAAAGGTCATTTCTTTCGTTTGTGATTAATACATGATACACGTTTACTGGTTTTGATTGAAAGTCTTTATGCTTTTTGAAAGTGATTTAATTTTATCTTTGATTATTTCACCATCTTCAAATGTGAAGTTTACATTTCTGATTATTCGAAATTGTATTACCATATGTTTCTAGTGGAATTTTTTTTATGGATTTGCAGTTATTTATACTACCGTCTGTGTTCCTCTTTTGTGTTAGCGTTTATTTCGATTTTCTTTTGGGAATTTTAGGCATCATCAAGTAAACTCTCTCAATCAAGTCAAAGAACTTTGACTTCATTTTTTTCTCGAACATCTACAACACCAACTCAAGGGGAATTGAAGCGGAAACTTAGTTCGTCAGAATGTGAGGGAGGAGATTCTGATCCACCTTCTAAACTTCTGTTCAGTGATGAAAATAAATCGCCTACTACTGGGACAATATCACCGTCAACTAGTTAGTGATTCAATATTATGCTTATACCGTCTTCACATATTGTTTATTGTCGTAAAAATTTGTGTAGTTGTTCTTGCTACTTGTTAAACTGTATCATACCAATTGAAAAATGTATTTTCATTCAAGCTTCTAATTTCACATTCTAATGTGGCCCTACTTACCCAGGTATTGATGAACAAACTTTTTAAGATGACAATTATATTTTACTTGATTAGTGTTAACAAAAGCAAAATATACTACTTAAGAATTTTCAATCACCTAACAATTATTCCTTGTCAAATTATTGTCAATTAAATTGAGATCATTTGTACTGTTTACCGTCCATTTTGGTCAAGTTGTATATTGATTAACTTTGATTCGGTTAGTTGTGTTTAGAAATTACGGGAAATTAATAAATGACTAGCGTTTATCGTTGGTGGACATTGTTATAAACAAACCATGAATAAGTAATGTTCTCTTCAAATCAAAATATGGCATCAGTCCAAGAGGTCGTCGACTGTTGAACTATAAATTGTACAGTTGACATGCTTACAATTATCGTACTTAATCAGAGGTTAGAGATCTTATGTAACATGGTCCACAATCGTTTACAATGATGTAGATCCATTCACAAATTGTCCTTTATTAGATCTTAAGTTTTAAATGATCTTATACTGTTTATTCAGTGATTACTTTCTTTCACAAATCTGCTATTTCCACTACTCTAACGCTTGTCTTGTGCACTTCATTGTTCTGTGTTAATATGGTGTGACAACATAAATCGATTCACGTATGTGCCAGGTTCTACGTTGATTATAATTGACCGATTCCTTTTATAGCTTCAATAATGTTAAGAATGTCGCCTTTTCCTACACTAATTAAGATACAAACATAATTTTTTGTAGAAATTGTTTTAATGTAGAGTTATGAGTATCTTTTATATGAAGAATAAAAAAAAACATTCATCTAGTATGTCGCTATTCATTATCCAACTATTATCAATCTATGATGAAAAACGATTTTCACATTATTGTGTGATTATTCAGAAAGGATGGAATAAATTTCATTCTTATTTTTGATCAGTTAAACGAACTATCAAGTAAATTCACTGGGTATTATTTGACTTGTATCTTCCCATTGAGGTTTAAGACTGCAATTGATCAATCTGTTATTGACATATGTACATACTGTGTGTATGCCTCGATATTACCTTAATTCAGAAGCTATTTGTAAGTAATGATTCCACTGCTAGCCACTATCTATCATTGCTTACGAACTACTAAGTACTTTCAAACTATTGAATGAATTTTTTTTATGAAAATGTCTATGTTGACTTTGTACTCTTTTCCTTTATATATCAATGATTCTTTTTTCCTTATAGCAAATACACCGAATATGAAACCTTTATCACCAATGAATAATCATTCATTCAGTTTAATTGGCAATACAAAACATTTATTCAAATCTACAGAATTAGATAAATCAGCTGTAAATAAAATGTTAGCTGAATGTCGACGAAGATTAACTAATCGATCTAATAAAAATGTATTAAATTTAATTCAAGGTATATCAAATGAATGGTTTGCTATATTATTGGAACAAATTGAACATGATAAATTTCAACAATTAGCTGATTTTATTGCTAAAGAACAAAATAGTGGAGTAACAATTTATCCACCTATTGAACAAGTATGTTGCGATCTTTTTTTTTGGAAGGATTTTGTGCATAAAATTACATTATATCTAAATCTTTGTGTAGATCAACATTTATTCCTTTATTTGAACACATAAATACTGATACAAAGGGGCACCGAATAAATATGCACCATACAAGTCACTTGATTTGTGTGTGGGAAACGATACTGCCCGGGTGCTCAAACCAAAGCAGGTGGTTTTCTTAGGAAGCCACATTCGAAGCCTTTCAACCTAAAGGTCTAATCCACAAGGCAGTGGAGCAACATCAGGAGATTCAGTCCCATGGTAGCCGGTGACCAATAATTGGTTCATACACCATTTGTTCCTTCAGGATACTGGAGTCCATGTGCACCATTGGTTTGGAATCAGGGTTTTCCAACGTCGTTGGGTAGAATCTAAATTTCTGAGTGATTTCTCACCCTGTTTAATGGATGTTATGTATGGAGATTTTACCCTCAATTTCGCTTTGTTTTATAATTTCATTTACGATAGAACATTATAAGCACATACTTTGATAATTTCTCTTATTGATCGCCTCCCACTGAACTAAAGTATGGTTCGTTGGATCACAGTACTCTTGTAGCTTATACCCCTGTTTTTATGATTATAGGAAGAACAAATACGTGACCTGAGGTTATTAAAGTACTCTCAACTTGTAGTCTTACTTTCATTCTATCTCTGTTACTGTCGTTCAATACATCCCCAGGATTGTTCAAAGGTCAGAACCTCCAACTATCTTACCGTTTAACTTCTTTGTCAGACCTAGTCGGTTTTTTCTAGAACCTTGGGCACAGAGGACTTTCCACGGTTATGTTTATCAGCAATCATCCGGACAAGGAATCTAAAGTTGGAAAATACGAGATCTCACTTGTTCGTTATTTTCATTAATAAGGGAAAGTTACGGTTTTGTTGGTGTCCAATTTACTAGAATAACGCACCTGATTTCGGTTTAGTCCAAAATACTGTCTTGGCTTCTCAGAAATATTTATATGTGAAAATATGTAAAATAATAGATAATATTATAATCAATGATGATTAACTTAATTCACTTTCAAGGTGATAAACACAACAACAACAACAGTCCATTCTCAACTTTACATTCAAAATAAGGTGTCCAGACAAAATATGCAATAACCAATAAGAGAACAGTTAGTCTGTCAAGAGTTAATATAATTAGCAAGTTACAAGATAATAGAATCAATACGAATTACTTGTAAGTAATATAGTTGCAACACAATAAATTCACACTTGCCGCGTATTCTTAACAGTACTGTCTAAAACAATTAAGCCTTTCAAAAAGAGCTACTTTATTTACTATGCCTTCTTAAAAGTTCACAATTATCATGAGAGATTTAGAAAATTTTCATGATAGTCCTTAATAGCTCAAGTTATGTACATATTTGACACACCATTTATACCAAAGGAATGTATGTAACGTATGTCCAGTGTTCCCAGTTTTTCAATGATGGTCTAAATTAGATCGGTTCATAGTTTCAATGATTTTCATTTCGTTAATTTCTGCATTTAACTATATGATATACAGACTAATCAATTCTTGGAAAAATCAATTTATTTTGAATACACCATTTTTGTTTTCATCTGAGTTACATTTTTTTATTATTAGAACTCTGTGCGACAATTATGAACTGTAATTCTTCTTTCACTAAATCACTATTGAATGTGAATTGTAGTCTACACCTACTAAAATGGTACAGTTTAGTAGTCAATGGTATCATGAACACATGGTCTGTGTCATAGTTTGTCCGCCCCTAAGTTTCTTTAAACTTATTCCTACACCAATTGTTAAACTATGTACTAAGCTGAAACATATTCTTACATGGATAACTTACAAGTATGTTCATTAAACTTGCCGTTTGTATTTTTTAAAGATACACTAACCAATTAAATTATTGATTTCATCTTGTTCAGATTTTCACATGGACTAAATTATGCTTACCAACAGATATACATGTTGTAATCTTAGGACAAGATCCATATCATGGACCAAGACAAGCACATGGTTTAGCATTTTCTGTATGTCGACCAGTACCAGCACCGCCAAGTCTTATCAACATGTACAAAGAAATTAGTTCAAGTATGAATTTGGCAAATTCTAATGATAATTGGCCACCAAAACATGGTGATTTAACTGGATGGGCTAAACAAGGTGTATTACTGTTGAATGCTGTACTGACTGTTCGCTCTTCAACACCTAATTCGCACAAAGATAAAGGATGGGAATTTCTAACAGATGCTGCTATTCGTTATTTAAATAAAAATCGAAATGTAAGATCATGTATATTAACTACTTTTTTGGAATATTTGTACACTGTAGGATTGAATCATTGCCCAAGAGTAAACAACTGTTCACTGCTCGTTGATTTTCTACTACTGATGTCTACAGATATAAGTAGTATGTGTCATTAAATGAAAGCGAAATGCCTAGTGGTAGAAGGTTAAGAAGATCGAAGGAAAGAGAACGAGAGCAGAGAATGATTGGTGTGAGAACGAACGAACAATCAATCTGAGACAATTGTTTGACATTTTGCAACTGATTCTCAGGTTTTGCTAAGATATTCTGTAATTTTGTGTTCAAATACATTTGGTGTCGCTGCCAGGACATTCTACTCGACGTCACCTTCCCGCAACAGACTGCCTCAAATAGCACCTCATCTCCAGGCCCTGCAACGGCGTCCGCAGAACAACACCCTCTCCGCCTCCTGGTTGGCAGCGACACTAAATGTAGTGAACGAGAACACAAATGGGGACAACCGACCCATTGTACCAGTAACAAGAGGCAATATTCATCAAGTTGAAATGATCTATTCATATACCTCCTAATATTTTAATTTTATACCTACTTCCATACTATTTAAACAAAATAATAATTTGTTTTTAATTTTTTATTCTTTTCATAATATTATTTATAGAATTTAGTTTTTATGCTTTGGGGTGCAAGTGCTCAAAAACAAGGCCAATCAGTTGATCGTAAACGTCATTTAGTACTTAATGCACCGCATCCATCACCTTTATCAGCTAGTCGTGGATTTTTTGGTTGTGGACACTTTGAAAAAGCAAATGAATACTTAAAACAACATGGCATTAAACCAATTGATTGGACTAAATTAGATTAATTTTCTTTTTCCTTTCTAGAACTATTTTTTTTCTAATTCCCCCCCCTTTTATCACTTTTTAACATAATTCATCCATTGATTCATTGCATTTTATTATTACTGAAAGATTTTTATATTGTCGCATTTAAAGTTTCTAGGTATCTCATAAATAAATTTTTTTTTTCAATTGTGTAAAGCGACTGGTCATTTTTATGATGTTAGTTTGGGCGGGGGGTGTAAATACTGTTAAATTTTATAGTTTATACTATGAATTGGTAAGAAAACCATTAAAAGTCAGAAAGCAACGGACAGTTGTTTCGTCCTAGTATAGGGCTCTGTTGAAGTACACACGCATGACCTAGCTACCGGAGATCGAACTTAGGTCCTTTAAGTCTGAAGGTAGGTACTTAACTTGATATAAGTACTCCAACTTTTAGTAAGGTTCAAAAAGCTATAAGAAATGCAAAACGATGGAGGGCATCATGACTTGATAGACTAGTCACTGAGATTTTTAAGGATGGTGGGCCAGTTTCAGCAGTTAGATTTACTGAAATCTTGGCTAAAATCTGGGATTTGGACATAATCCAATCTCACTTGTCTCGATCGCTGATCGTTTCAGATTATGAGGAAGGAAAAAAAATCATCCAGTGAGTTATAGAGGAATCAGTTTAATTGATATAGTGTGCAAAACATTGGCCTCAATAAAACTTTGACATCCAGCTAGAGCTCGTGAAGAACAAAGTCTACAAAACCAGGATAGTTTTTTACCTAGACTTGTATGTATAGACCAAACATTCAGGCTTCGGCAGATTCTGAAGCATATGCATACATATAAACATATTCTCCGACGTCCGACTATAGTTGACATAAGGGCAGCATTCAACTGTGCTGATCGTGAGATTCTGTGTTAGTGTCTGTCACTGGAAGACGTACCGAATGAGAATATCAATTTTGTGCAGGCTCTTCAATTTAACACTACTTTGCGAGTCAGATCTTGTGGGGAAGTCACTAGGATTGGTAGCTTGGATCGGTCTTCATCAGTGTCATCCGCTTTCCTCATCTTTGTCATAGACATCCTTTCAGTGACAACGCTCTCATTGTCGTATTTTCCGGGGATCGATCTAGCTTGTTAACTTATAATACCCTAATGCTTAAGGACTGGAACACGTTAGGGACTGAAATAATGATAAGAAAGGAAGTAGTTAGGCGTATCGACTACTTCACTTACCTTGAGAATCTCACCAGTCTGAATGGCTTAGTATTTGAAGTAATATCGGTATGAATTTATAATGCTCGGCCAGTCTTGTGGCATAGGTGCAATATCCGTCGGCCAACCAAAGGACGAGTCTTATGCTCGGTGGCGCGCTGTTTTACTTTATGGGTATGGAACACAGTTACGAAGATTGGATGATAATCGTAGGCTACTGGGATTCGATCATAGGTGTCACTGACACCCTAGGTAGGGGTCGAGTTTTAGGTGAAAACAGCAAATCGACTGGTGATGTAGTAAATTGTTAAATGAGGTGGTTAGGACATGTGTTACGTATGACTAACCACCATTTAACTCGATGGACGATGTCTGAAAGAAAGCAAGAGGTGTTCAAACCAAGACATAGCACCAGTCTATGAATTCATTGACAGTTGGACTGAGCCGTGTTAAGGGGTGCAGACTATCTTAATAAAATCCTTGCGATTATCGTTAGACATCAAGAATGGTATCCCTCCAAATAGTTTATAATAATGGAGGTGAATATACTCATTATCTTCTCTTAGAATCTAAATTTCTAAACCCGTTATACTTTTTTGATTTAATAATTTATATTTTTTCCTCGATTCGTATCTTCGATGCCAAATCTTTTCTATTACCACTAATACTGTTACTACTTCTACTACTCAGAAATTTGACATGACAATCTCATTTTGCTGTGGTAATGGGATATGTCAACTTCAAGTGATGTATACATGTGCCAGGCTCTATGTTACATATGAATGACTAACTAACTAAAAAACTTTTAGACCATTAAGTCGAAATCCAATGGTTTAAATTTCTAACTCTAATGAATGTCAAGAAATGCTGTGAATTGATGAATTACTGAGTAAACAGTTTATTTACTGTACTTTTCAGATCTTCTGCCGTGAAATTATAAGCACTTAGTTATAAATACCATATCTAAGGAATTTCGGCAACTGATCATTTAACTGAATTTTTCCAAATGATAATTGGACTAAAGCTTTTTATGTACAATCATAATATAAAATTCTGTGCTCAGGAAAAACTATGTACTTTGTTTTTTGAGCAAGTGGAAGTCATCCTTTTTAAGTCTTTAAATACCATTGGACATATTTCGTCAACAGTCTCCAAAAACAAATAATAGGTTCTCGACTTTGCTGTAGACCCATATGTAACTGGGGTAAACTTATAGGCCAGAAAATGTTCGGTAAGTCTTCAATACTCACTATACCAAGTCATTACTTGAAATGTCTTCATGACGTTCAAATGTGTGAAATTCCCACTATTGGAATAGGCGAATAATTGATTTACCTGACTGGAGATAGATTTCACTGAAAAGTTTATACGATCATATGAAGTCATAATTAAAAGCGTATAAACTCTAAGAAACGACTAGATATCTGTTTAGTATGTTACTTCACGTAGATGTTGTGCACGACTATTTAAAACTACATATTACTGAAAATACATGTGTAATGTTTCATAAACTACTGTACATTAGAACACAAAAAGTATGCATAAAATACCCCGATTCAATCAAACCTATTCTCGAATTGTACAGTGAATGGTTATTCTCAAATATTCTATTATTTATTGTTAATCATGAAGGTGAGAAATCGTCGGATAGAAAATATTAAAAGATCAGTTGTAATAAGTTTGAGTACAATACTACTTGCAATATTTAGTTCTAAAGTTTATTAACATAATATAACAATTTATTACCATTTATCATAGTTAAAACTTTAAAAAGAATCCGTAAAATCTACTAAAAAATCGTGGATGCACACTGCTAAGGAGTCCCATACTAAGACGAAACGGCCGTCTAGTGCTTCCAGGTTTTTCCATGATGCTCTAGCTTCAGTTGATTCATGAAGTCAATTATTAAATTACTATAATCTTCATAAAACCGCTTTGTGATAGAAATCTATAAATAAATACATTTCACATTATAAAGTGAAACTTTTATCCACTCTTCGCTATATACTCAAGATGTAGATAGAATCATTATCACTGTGTTTAATGCATTGTAGACAGTAACTACTGACGTACACATATAACGTGATATTGACTAATCACACTTTCTGACATGAAACAATTTTTTTATATTATTTTATTAAACAAATTTAATATGATCAGTATAGAGAGTTGTGGAAATTGTTAAATTTTTGATTGAAATCATGAATCAGGTGATATTAGTTCACCATTGAAAACTTAGAAATACTAAACGGCTGTTTCATTCTATTACGCAACTCCTCAGTAGTACACATCCATGATTACACTCGCGGGATTCGAACTCAAGACCTTTAATTAATCGGTTCACAATTTCAATGAAATTCAACAATCTTCAATAAGCCCAAATTAGTCATGGATGCGCACTGCTGAGGGGTCACACAATAAGACGAAACGGCTATCCAGTTCTTCCAGGTTTTCTATGGTGGTCTAGCTTCAACTGACTCATGATATCAACCATTTAAATTACTATAATATCCACAAAACCACTTCTGATATTAATCAACATATGCTCACTAGTGACTGGCTTCAAGAGGTATATTCTGGAGTTCTAGTGAGAAGCAGTGACCAGTGAAGTTCAGCCGGGTCTCTTGTGAGATATCAGCTCACTGATAACAATGGTGGATGTTTCTCAATTTCGTGAATTAGCTGAAGTTAGACATTAACACCGTCGGATACATGACGGCTTAGTGGTCTAGTGGTTAAGCGCTCGAGAGCGAGACAGATAGATCCTGGGTTCGAATCTCGCGGGGGATCGTGATTTAGCACCGCTGAGGAGTCCCGCAATAAGACGAAACGGCTATCCAGTTCTTCCAAGTTTTCCATGGTGGTCTAGCTTCAACTGACTCATGATCTCAACCACTGAAATTTCGTTTAATTTAACAAGTATTTACTATTATTGTTTACATTATCATCTATAAATATGATTTGTTTCAAAAGGTATGGGTTCAATATTAATTAATTAACAATAGCCATTGTTTGTTTTTTTTAAATACAGATTTATACCTCGAAAAGAAAAGAAGAAATAAGACAGTTCGCTAAACGAGAAAATTATTTTATTTTAAGAAAAAACAGACAGCCCCATATCATCAAATATCTGTCCTAACGACATGAATTGTTACTATGTAGATTATTAAGTGGATTATGCCTTTCAACAAAAAAAAACAACCTGATATGAATTCTGTAATTATTATTTTTAGAAATATAATATAATTATTACATTATTGTATCTAATTCAATGATGTACAATACAAGTTCACAAACGCATTATCTCTATCTCTATCTCTATCTATGTCTTTGTCTTTCTCTCTTTCTCTGTTTCTCTTTGTTTCTATCATATGAGTGCACAAATAAATAAATAAATATTTCACTGGTTGAAATCATGAGTCAATTGAAGCTAGAACACCTTGAAAAACCTGGGAGCACTGGACGGCCGTTCCGTCCTAGTATGGGACTTCTCAGTACTGCGCATCCACGATCCCGCACCCCGCTAAATTCGAACCCAGGACCTATCAGTCTCGCGCCAAGCGCTTAACCAACCAGTTCACTGAGCCGGCATCCAACGGTGTTAATGTCTAACTTCAACCAATCCACGAAGTTGCGTCACCGTACACCATTGTCTTCAGTGATATGAATTCTGTAATTATTATTTTTAGAAATATAACACCATTATTACATTATTGTATCTAATTCAATGATGTACAATACAAGTTTACAAACACATTATCTTTATCTCTATCTATGTCTCTGTCTCTCACTGTCTCTGTTTCTCTTTGTTTCT